AGACAGACAGACAGATGGCTATATGGGTACATGGGAGATGGAAGCTACATGAGTGGGCAGAGAAGTCGATGATGCTAGAGAGATGGCCAAGGACCACTCCTTCAGGTAGGTCCTGCCACAGGAGCCTACCTATGCAGCATGGGCTGACGCTTGTTCCTGTGGACCCTGCCTCCTCAAAGTCCTGCTCCTCTGGCCCCTCCTCCACGGGGGTGACCCTGGTAGGGCAGTGGATGAGGTTAAAGTGCTCACAGAAAGTCAGTGGAAGTGGGGGCTGTCACAGATGACCTCTGTGTGCCCCACTGCCTCCAGGTCAGACTGGAGGACAGGTCCTGGCCACGTTATCTAAAATGTCTCACAGACGGCAAAACAACACAGACACACACTCTGAAGCACTTCCTACAATCATGATTTCTGCAGTTGGGTGCTCCTGCCACCCAGCATTAGACAACAACTTTTCCTTTTTCTTTCTTTCTTTCTTTCTTTTTTTCTTTTTTTTTTTTTTTTTTTCTTTTTTTCTTTTTTTTTTTTTTTTGTGGTACCAGGGATTGAACTCAGGACCTTGTGATTGCCAGGCAAGCACTTATTCTACTGAGCTATCTCCGCAGCCCAATAACTTTTAAACATATCCAGTTGCGAGCTGATAAGGGAAGGGGCTGAGAGAACGGATTCCCATTTGCATGTGCGAGGGAACAAAACTCACTAAGTTGCTCACTATGAGGTAAATGAGTGCAACCCGAGCCTTAGCCAGAAGCAGTGAGGGAAGACGCCACCCTTCCTGGCTGAGAGCTGGTCTCCCAAGTCCTGCCGCACCCTGAGTGACTTGCGGCCCCCTTCCTGGGCAGCAGTGCACCCTCCTCGCCCTGCGGCCTCTGCTCAGAGCCCAGGTGCCTGCCCTGCACAGGGCCAGCCCACCTCCGCTCAAGCAGCCATGCTCTGCTCTTGCAAGCCAAGCTTCCTCACCCAAAGCGCGGTCTCCCAAGGAAGCCTGGGCCAGTGCTCCAGGGCTAGGAGAGAGCCAAAGTCCTAGAAGATGAGCCGACCGGATGCTTTAGTCCAGGCCCTCATGGTGGGAGGATTTAGAACAGCTTCTCCTAACAGCGACAAGAACAAAGTGTCGTTGCACAAGGCACCATGTGCTGTGGGCCTCCACACCATGCTAGCCAGATCTCCAAGCAGGGGACCCTCATGGGGACCCACCACGCGGTAGCAGCTGTCTGTGGAGCCCTGGGGAAGACTGATGAGGCTTCAGAGAGGGTGACAGTGACACGTGCACCTATGGGGGACTCCCAGTGGGAGCACCCCGACCACAGTAGGCCACACAAGGCTCCCAATTGTCACCAGGAACTGGGGCTTAGGAAGGTACATAACTGACTTTGTTCGAGCTGTGTCAGATGACCGACCTAGGGGCTCAGCCAGCATGTGACAGGCTGGCACTGTTACCCAAAGCCTGGGCCTGGCTCCCTGAGAGCCGTGGCCACCTCTGTCAGGGAGGAGCAGCTACTCCTCTGTGCCTGTCCTGCTGCTCATCTCTGGTCTAAAGACAGCAGTTGATGCCCCCACTGCCACCATCCCTACTCCAGGACTACGTGCACCTGTCTCTGGTGCTAGGTCACCCCTTGCTGCATCTGCAGTAGCAGGTGGGGCTGAGGATGGGCCTGCTCCCTGCTCTGGGACACCAGGCCACCCCGGCTCCTCATGTCCTCACTGAGGTGGGCCCTGAGTATGGGCTGCTCCCTCCCCTGAGACACCAGGACACCCCAGCTCCTCGTGTCCTCACTGAGGTGGGTGCTGAGGATAGGCCCGCTCCCTCCCTTGGGACACCAGGCCACCCTGGCTCCTCATGTCCCCAGTGAGCAGACCTGAACATAGGTATGTGGGTGCAGCCAGTTCAAGGTCATGGACACAGTGGAGCCACCAGGACCCCTCTGGTCACCAGGCAGATAGGGGCCATTCGCAACCCCCTACCGTCCTGAACCCATCAGAGCACTGCCCCAGCCTTATCACAGGGGAGTCAGCGACAGCAGCAGCGCAGTCCCCGCTGCTTCCCATGCAGTGTCCACTCAGATCTGCGGGGGCGAGATGGGGGCAGTGTCACCACCTGCCTGGGAGGAGGCAGGCTGATTTCCAGGTGCTTGCAGCACCCACAGCCACCTCCCTCTTGGAGGGCAGCACGAGGGTTGGGGCGGGAGAAGGGCACGGGACCGGTGGGGCACAGGCATCTCCCCAGCCCTGTGCACACGTGTGGGAGCCCCGAGGGACGTGCCAGGCTGGAGGAGTCCCACGGCTGCACCCTTGAGCTGTCTCGAAGAGTCAGAGCGCTGTCCCATCAGCCCAGCAAATCACGTGGAGAAGAAACTCGCTGCTTCTGGCTGATGAGGCCATGAAGCCTGATCACGGAATTCGGCCGTCCTCCCACGACAGCCGGCTGGCCCCGGGGTTTGCTCGCCGCCTGGAGAATCTGCATGTGGCATCTGCCTGGGCCCTGGGCCCTGGGCGACGCCTCTCCTTGGCACTGCTCACCCTGGTGCTGCCCACCTGACCACATTCTGCGGAAGGCCGCCCAGCACCCACCAGCCCGCCCGGGACAGCACGATTAGACCGTAAAATCATAACTGTGGCCGTGGTACGTCTGCCGGCATAACTACATCAGCGTGCTAATGCCATTTTAATGGCCTCTAATGATGTAATAAGAAATAATGGAATTTATCTGACAGCTACATAACCATTAACAAAACATATTAAGCATAACTAGTACTTCCATAAAAATGCAGACAATGTCTGCCAGCGCCAGCACACACCCCCGCTCTCCCCGCTCCTGGAACAGTGAGGTCCTGGCCCTCCCTCCCAGGCCCTGGGGTACAGGGGGCCTGGGTAGGACTGAGGGGTACAAGTCGGCCCCCAACAGGGTGGGTGCTCAGGGCTGTTGAGACGTGCAGGTCTAGCTAGTGTTCAGAGGCCATGCATGCCACACAGGCATCACCCCAGGAGGGCACAGACTCCCCAGGGCCAGGCCTGGGCTTTGGAGGAGGCTCTGCAGGCAGCACGGCCTGGACCCCAATGGGAAGAGGGTCAGGGCAAGGCAGAACTGAGCAGGAGAATGGCACCTGCTGTGGGCAGGACACGGCAGCAACTGCTGTGGCCAGGTACTATAAGGCCGCAGATGGGTGGCGCGGGTCCCTTGAGGAAGAGGCCCTGTCCCAGCAAGGAGCACACAGGTGTGCGACACTCAGGGGGGGCTTGGGGCTTACCCCAGGCCTGCCTGGAAAGTCTGGGCTCCAGCAAAGGGCCAGAGGGTCAGCGCTGGCAGCCGCAGTGCGGAGCCACACCAGGCCCCTCCCTGGAACCCGCACGCCGTGCTCTCCGTCCCGGCCTCCCCCCGTTCTCACACTGTGCCCTGGGCACCACCTCCTGCCTGCCAGCGCTCATCACACGTGAATCCCTGAGAGCTGCTTGCTCCAGGCGTAGAGGGCCGCCCTGACCGCCTCTGAGAGCAGGGACACTGGCACACGTCGGTCACTTCAGGGACACGGGGCCAGGCCTGCTCTGCCCCATGCCAGTGTGCTGCTGGGGTCATGACAGAGCTGTGCGTGGCAGACACGGGGATCCTGGCCAAGTGACACGAAGAGGCACTGGGTGCTCCGCTCGGCAGTGGAGGGGTGCTGGCTGCCCGAGCACCTGGGAGGGCCCAGAGGCCACATCCAGGAGGCTAGGAGTCTCACGGCCAAGCCCAGCCTCCATGGTGGTCCACGCCTTCCCAGAGCCACAGCAAGGGCCCCTCCTCCTCCCCCATGCAGCTCTTCATGACACGGCTAATGGCCCAGACAGCTTCCCCAGCAACTCTCAGGCTGATCCCTGAGAGGACAGGCCCGCACCCGGCACTCACTCGATGTCCTCAAAGATGCTGGGCGGCACCTGCAGGAGGTGGGCAACATTGGCCATCAGCTGCTTCCCCTTCTCCGGGCTCAGGGGGCTGTGGAGAGAGGAGGGGCAGCGTCACCGAGGAGGTGGCCCAGGTGCTGTATCGGCAGGGACAGTCCCTGCTTTCCCAGTGGGGAACAGACAGCACTGTGCAAACAGGACCATGAGGAGGGTGAGGAGTCCAAGGTCACCAGGGATCCTCTCAGGCTCCCATCAAACACAACAAAGGGCAAGGGAGAGGACTGAGAGCGCAGAGGGCCAGCGGCCGCCTCACATGTGCGATGGGACAGCTGCCTTGTGGAGGTTCCCTTCTACGAGGAGGCGCATCGGGGAGCGGGCATTCCAACGCCTCTTGTGCGTGTACTAATGGTGTGAGGAGGGGGACACCCCATGCAGCACCCTGTCGAAGGGCCTGGCTACCCCAGGCTGCCCTGAGAGCGCAACTGCCCAGCACAGCCACATCAAGGGGAAGCCACAAGCAGGGACTGTGTGTGACGTAGGGCTCTGGCCACCAATCTTCAGTGCCACTGTTCTGCTCCCGAGCTCGGTGCCTATGAGGTCCCATCACGCTGCATCCACGGTGGCGGAGCAGTCAGCTCCACAAGCATCTCTTCTCATCACTCAGCAAAGGCTCAGTGAGGAAGGGGAGTGGCCCTGGGCAGGGGAGCCCGGGCCCTGCTGCCATGGGACGTGTGCAGGTGCGCCGCAGACAGCCCCACACACTAGCAGTCAGGGACCCGAGTCCTGTCCTGGGCTTCAGCTGCCACCCAGAACTTATACTAACCTGGATAACTGAACTTCTCTAGAACAGACCATGTGGGGTCCCACAGCCAGGGTGATGGCATCCACAGAACCTGTGGTCATCACCACTGTCCTTGTCAAGTGGGAAACACAGGTGTGCGCAGTGGGGGCACAGTGTGAGGACATGGAGAAAACCACCCAGATGCCAAGGGCACCAAGGTCACCATGGCTGCACGTGACCTGGAACACTCCTGGGGTGCACATCCCCAGGGGCCTCCACACACTTCCGGGTGGGTACACAGCTCTGTGTGTAGACACTCTCGGGTGAAGGCACGTCAGCCCCTGGTACACGCCAAGAAGAACACGCTCAGGGGAGCCACGCATAAAAGTGCACACCTGCTCCCGTGCCCTCACACTAGGGAAATTTGCCGTCCACTGTGTGATGTCACTCCTGGACCTGCACATGGGCCATCAGGGTGGGCCTGATTCCCCTTCTTTGGTGACCCCTTGAGTGCCCCCACAGACCTAGATCCAGGTCCACAGGTTCCCCTCTCTTTCAGTGCCCTATTCCCCCTCAAATCTTAGCATGGATCAAGAATCTTAACCCAGCCAGCTGGGCCTGTTAGAACACTTTTTCCTAAAATCCTTCTAGACATTGATAGAACCACTAGGCTGACCACTTGTTCTAAGAAATTCAGTTATTTCATGTATTTAAATCCTGTCTCCCTCCACAAACAGAAACCTTATCAGGATGAGGAGCTCCGTGTGGTGCATGCACACGTGTGTGCACGTGTGCATGTATGTCCAGAGTCCCTTCTCTCAGCTGACGTCTGTTTCCAAGCTCACAGACACTTCCACACACACACCAAGACACTCCCCGGCACACACAGCTCCAGGTCACCGTGGACTCCCAGGGTTTCCACCAGAGTGGCAAGTCTAAGTGGGAGTGGCATCAGTGTGCAGGCACTCCCATGGTGCCAGGACCCTCCAGGGCCACACAGGGGCCAAACACTGCTGCAGCAAGATCAGCTGCAGCAGCCTCTAGGGGCACCATGACATTGCAGCCAGAATCATTTTACGGCCCTCGTGCACAGACGGCACCCCAACGGCCCCAACCATGCAGGGGACGATCTGTCCCTCCTGGTCTCTTCCTGGTCACCTGTCACGGGTGCAGCAGGGACAGCAGGTATTCAAGGGCTGTGGTGGGCACCTGGGGTGCTCACGCAGATGCTGCCACTTTGTTTTAGATGGGCACTGCCCTCTGTCCTGCCATGGTCTGAGCCTTGGTAGGAAGCAGCTAGAGTTAATCTCAAAAATCAGAGGGAGGACTCAGCGCACGCAGTTCTACCTGTCTGTCTGTGGCAGCTGTCACCCGCCACTGAACTTGGTGCTGTCCCTGGGCCACAGGCACATGTCCTCGTGGACAAGAGATCAGCTCGTGCTGCACCTGGACGGTGTGCGAGGGTCTGAGAGCTAACGCTGCAGCTCCTCTCTGCTGGGGCTCACTCCTGAGGAGCATGTGCTGAGACATTTCAGTACCACTCTTCCACATTCTTGAAAAAGGTGCTTCTGGGATCTACTAAAAGTCAAAGGACAAGAATCTAAAGTGTCCCAAACCACCCATTCTCGGGGAAGCTCACGAGGGAGGTGATACCTTCCTTCCTACAGTGCCCTGTGATGTCCACACAGCCCCTGGAAGGAGAGCCTGGCTGCATGCCTAGAGAGCAGGAGCGCGTGGAGAGTACCCTTGTGTAGAGCCCAGGGAGCCTGACCAAGGGCCACAAGTCCCAAGGGCAGAGAGAGCTGCCAGAGGCTGCCTCGGACTGGCTGCGTGCTGAGAGGCCACAGCACCTCCCAGCATGGCACTCAGGACGCCTGCACGGGAAGTGCTAGTGCTGACGCTCTTGTTTATCTTTACTTGTGCTAAGAGATGGCACTGCACAGTTGTCCAGGGTGGCCCTGACTTCCGGGACCCTCTGCCAAGCAATCCTCTACCTCTGTCTCCAGCGGTTGGGCCTACACGTGAGTAGCACCACACCTCGAGAAAGGGAGGCTGAGGCTGGAGAAATGGTACTCCTAGTCCAGGATTCTTGCAGCAGCAAACCTCCAGGAGAAAACCTGGCCACACAGGTCACAGGAGCCAGCACTCAGGGCAGTGTCAGCAGGGCAACCTGGGCCTGCAGCACACGGACAAAGCTGAGCGTCTGCGCTGTGCCCTCTGCCAGGCACTTCTGAGGCTCCTCACACAGCGGTGCTGCCACCCCCGCCTTCCGGAGCAGCTGGGAGCAGCACGCTGTGGGCAGCTCTGCTGCTGGCCTGCTCAGGTCGGCGCTCGAGGGCAGGGCCTCTGTGCATCTGCCATGTCCCTTGCTTCGCTGTGGACACCATGCGGTCTACTTGAAACTTCACTCAGAGCTCAAGGACCAGGTGAAACAGCACCCAACGTGGATATCAGCTCCGGAGGAGACTCTGCCAGGAGCCAGGGGACAAAAGGAGGCTTCCTCGGGGTTTGCCCCTTGTCCCTTCTCCCCCCGTCATTCTCACTGTGGCCAATCTGCGGGCGTCCTCCAGGGACGAGCAGCAGGGAGGAGGGCGCAGAGGAGGGACAGCCACTGCCCGGCAGCTGCTTCCTCCGCTTCCCTCGTAGAGCGCCAGGCAGGAGCCAGGAGCGCTTGGGCTGGCCAGTTCACCTGAGACTGACCACGTGCCTGGGGCTGCCAGAGAGCCGAAGCTATGAGCAGTGGCACCTCCTGCAGTGGGGGAGGAACTGCCACACCCTAGCAGCCGTTTCACAACACCAGATGAGGTACACTTCTCTCTGGAAGCACATTCCTTTCTCTAAATTAAAATAAAATGCCGAGAGTTTAATCCAAATCTAAGCACTATCTTCACACAATGTGGCCCCGGGAACCGCGATCCTGAGCTCGCACAAGGCTGGTCTGCAACCAGTTAGGCACGCTCCTGTGTGGGGCGGCCACGCCGACTTCCTCCTAGCCCTCCACATGTCTGGGAGGGGCTCTTCCCTGATGGCTCTAACCCTCGGATCCAGCACCACGCACTGCCCCCTGGGCACCCTGACAGCCAGAGAGGTGCTGCACTCACTACTGCAGGCCCGAGCCCAGGGAAGCTCCTCAGAGCAAAGCCCTCGGCCCTGAGCACAGGACCTGGCCGTCAGCGCAGGACGGTGGCTGGTGAGCAGTGGACGCTGACAGGGCGGATGTGGGGGCTGAGCTGGGACAGCCCCAGGCTGGGCAGTGACCCTCTGAGAGAGCTCCAGCAGAAGCTGAGCTCCAGGGAAGCTGAGTGGCCGTGGGCAGTGCACACAGATGGGGGCCTCTGGGCTACCCCTACAGCCAGGCTGGACTGGCTGCCCAGTGTGGGCACTGCCCGCTCTGCCACCAGAGCTGCTGCCAGCACACAGGGCCTGCAGGCCCTCTTCCTGCTCACACACGTGCAAGCACACACACACACACACACGTGTACACAGATAGACACACCACACATGTACGCACACACAACAGATAGACACCACACGCATGCACTACACACAGACATACACACGTAGACACACCACAGGAACACATATAGGCACATGTGTATAAACAATGACCAAGCAGACACGCGTGGGCCACAGGCACCCGCCGTACCCGGGTCTGCGGTAGGCCACACACACGCTCTACTAAGACTACAACCTCCAAGCGATCAGCCATGTGAGTGGTGACCGGGACACCCCACCAGTGCCTGCCCCGCCCCCGCTGGCTGTGCCCGCTCCTGGGGAGCAGCCTGGGTCCTCCCTCCCTCTTGCCCCCTCTCTCCAGGGGCAGCCCGGCTCCTCACAACCGGGACCAATGCTGTCCTCATGTGTGAGCCTTCTCTATTCAGGACAGGGAGGACCCAGGGCTTCTGTCTCACACGGGCTGAGCCTGAGAGACGCAGGGACAGGGACAGCAACGCATGACCCCTCTGGGCCAGATCACACTAGGAAGAAAGCCCCTGGGAAATGGGTTGGAAAGGACCCCAGGCAGGGCCGGCCCGGGTCCTCCCCGCCACCTAAAGTGTGGAGGGCACCGGTATGAAACTAGTCTGACATCTGAATTTGGTTAGGCTGTCTGTGGTTTGAGCTCACTCTAAAATCTCTCTGCCTGAGTGTAGAAAAGGACCAGAATGTATAACAGGTATTATGACATAGGAAGAAATGTCCAAATGGGGAGGGGACCACAAGAGGGGGTAAAAGAGGAAGGGAAAAGTGAGACAAAGAGAAAAGGTACAAATAGAAACAAAGCTTCAGCAGATGGGAAGGGGAGCAGGTTGGATGGGAGGTGGGGCTGGGGGGTGGGGACTAAAAGAACCGACTTGTATCATGTATAGGAACAAATTCTCTATGATGACGTGATCATTACATAGGCCTTAAACATACCAGTAAAATCTGATTGTAAAAAACAACCAGTTAAACTCCCTCGGCCTGGCTGCGACACACGTGGCCCTTGGGTGAGCGTGGCATCCTGGGAAGCAGGGTGGGGTCCACCAGAGCCGGGCCTCAAGCCAGGGCTCTGACCGCTCCGTCCCCCCACCCCACAGGTGATAGTGGAAACGTGCCAGGCTTCCTCCTAGAGAGGCAGAGCCTGGGCAGGCGCACACGAGTCCTGCCCGCACACAGCTGCGCAGGCGCCCTCCAACACCATGTGTGGCAGAGCCAGCTTCAGAAACTGACTATGCGCCGTGCCATGCATTGGTGCGGGGACCGAGAGACGGCCAGCCCCTTGGCCCAGCCCCCCTCCCCGTGAGTGTGGACTGAGAAGAGGAGCAGCACACTTTAGCGGGGTGCACCGTTCCTCGGAAAGGTCACTCGGGTCTTGCAACTTGGGCCATGGGTGTGCAACAGACAAAGACTTAGGAGGGGTTTTAACCCCCTGTGCTGGGAACCTTGACATTGAGCTCCATCCCCCACACTGTTTTAATTTTTTAGTTTGAAATAGGGTTTCTCTAAGCTGCCAAGCTCCTCAGGCTGGGCTTGAACTTGCAGTTGTCCTGCCTCAGCTCCCAGACACAGGTATGTTCCATCACACTTCACCGCTCCAGCAGGTTCAGCCAGCAAGGAGCTAGCGTAGACCTTAGTCTCCAGGCACCAGAGAGGCACCCGTGCCTGGTCTTTCCCAGCCGCAAAGGTGCTGGCCCAGCAGGCTTGGGCCAGAACCAGGGAAGCCGGGAGCCCCGAGGCGCTGGCTTGGGTCGCGGCACATAGGCGCCACTCTGGAGTTCGGCTCCAGGTCAGGAGCACCAACCAAGCACTCGGCCTCCTGGGTGCTGTCCCACCTAAGATACCAGGCTCCTACGCAGCAGACATTCAGACTAAGCTTGTTTCCCGCCTCTATGAGGTGCCCTCCTGGCAGTCGTGGGCACCAGAGGAGAACCTTCTACTTACTCGCTGCCCGTCACGATGTAGCCAGGCTCCTCGCCCTCGGAAGGCCTGGCTTCCAGCTGCAGCCCTTCATCCAGGGGCCCCCACGCTCCCGCTGGGGGCCTCTGCACCTTCTGTGGTGCGCCTGGCTCCTGGCCCCGGAGCCCCTCAAGCCCAGTGGCCCTGGGCTCTGCATTCGGCTTCTCCCATAGGTCTTTGGAGTAGGTCTGGCTCTTCACGTTCTCTACACCCACACCCTCTTCCTCTGAAGACAAGGAGACCACAGGTCCCTCCGATTTCTTCATCGCTGTTGGGAAGGGCTGCTGCAGAGTGGGCTCTCCAGGCAGCAGTGGGGACCCGGGGTCCTGCCGGAGGTCTCCAAGTTGGACACTCGGGTGACTGACCTGGCAGAAAGGAAAGTGGCATGAGATACTGCGTAGGAGAGGACAGCAGGGGCTGGGCAGAGGGATGCCTGCAATGAAGCTACCCATGTGGGGCCGCAGTCACAGGGCCACCTGAAAGCCCTGGACGAAGGTGGAGCTTTCTCTCTCTCTCTCTTCTCTCTCTCCTCTCTCTCTCTCCTCTGTCTCTCTTCTCCTCTCCTCTCTCTCTCTCTCTCTCCTCTCTTCCTCTCTCTTCTCTCCTCTCTCCTTCTCTCTCTTCTCTCTCTCTCCCTGTCTTCTCTCTCTCCACTCTCTCCCCTCTCCCCTCTCTCCTCTCTCTCTCTCCCTCTCTCCTCTCTCTACTTTCTCTCTCCTCTCTTTCCTCTCTCCTCTCTCCCTCTCTCCTCTGTCTCTCTTCTCCTCTCCTCTCCTCTCTTCCTCTCTTCTCTCTCTCTTCTCTCCTCTCTCCCCTCTCCTCTCTCCTCTCTCTTTCTCCTCCTCCTCGCTCCTCTCTCTCTTCTCTCTCTCCCTGTCTCCTCTCTCTCCTCTCTCTCTCTCCTCTGTCTCTCTTCTCCTCTCCTCTCTCTCTCTCCTCTCTTCCTCTCTCTTCTCTCCTCTCTCCCTCTCTCTTCTCTCTCTCCCTGTCTTCT